AAAAAACGAACAACCAAAAAAACCTATCTGTGATCAATGTAGTTCTGACTCCATATTGTGTTCGGCTTTAGGATAGGCCAATTCTTTCATATGAGTGTGTGTATGCTTGTGTGTATGTGAGTGTGTGTGAGTATGTGTGTGTGTATGTATGTATGAGTATCCAAGGAGGCTAGAAAAGGGTGTCAGATCCCCTGAAGCTGGGATTACAGGCAGTCATAAGCTCCCCAATATGGATGTCATGAACATGACTTGGGCCCTGTAGAAGAGCAACAAGTACTCTCAGAAAAGGGTGTCAGATCCACTGAAGCTGGGATTACAGGCAGTCATAAGCTCCCCAATGTGGATGTCATGAACATGACTTGGGCCCTGTAGAAGAGCAGCAAGTACGCTTAACCACTGAGCCATCTCTCCAGCCCTCTAATTTTTGTTTTGTTTTTAATTATTATTATTTTCATTGTGGTGTCTGTGTGTACATGAACCCAGAGGCCTGAGCAGACAGCTGTCTCCCTTTAACCACTGAGCCATCTCTCCAGCCCTCTAATTTTTGTTTTGTTTTTAATTATTATTATTTTCATTGTGGTGTCTGTGTGTACATGAACCCAGAGGCCTGAGCAGACAGCTGTCTCCCTCTATTGCTCTCCCACTAGTTCCTTGGAAACAAGGTTTCTCATTGAACCTGGGTCTTTTATTGTTTCTTCCATCAGCAAAGCCAACAGACTACAAGTCCTGGCAATCCTCCTGTCTCTGTTCCCTCCACTGCTGGGGTTACAAGTATGTGCAGCCATGTGTGGCTTTTTCAGTGAGGCCCTGGAGATCCAAAATCAGGTCCTTATATTTGCACAGCAAGTGCTCTTACCCAGTGAGCCATCCCCCAAGCCCCATAAGCCAGTTCTTAAAGTCCCTACAAAGAAGAGCTAAGCATGTTTTTTTCTAACCCTGTGCAGTTACACTGGTCCCATCTAATCCTGTGTCTGCATGTGTGTACACATGTATGGATGTGCACAATATGGGGTTGTCTATGTGTGGGTTCTAATATGCATATCTGGGTTCCTAAATTTCACACCCTGATAGAAGCTTGAAGAATTGGCTGATTCCTAGCCTCGGCCTTAAAAGATAAACCTGGGAAGGCAAGAAAAGTACTCAGACAAGGGCCGATGTTGGCAAAGAGCAAAAGCCAATTTGAAAGTCCTGCAATGCAAGAGCCTGCATCAATTTAGGGAGGCCTGGATTTACCCTGTTCACCTGAGTAATCCAGAAGATCTCTGCACATTGTAGATATCGGGTTCGTGTCTTCCATTCCACCTGCATGGAACCCTCCCTCACTATGGAATGTAACAGGACCACAGGGCCCAGAGATGAGGGCAGGAACATGATTGGGGCCATTACTGTAGACCACAGACCTGGAGCTTGCAGGCCCGAGACAATCTGTTGAGATGCTGCTGTGATGTGAACTCTCTCCCCCAGCTGTGCAACCCCGAGGTTCTGACCTTGATCACTTCTCCTTGGCCTGGTGCTAATCATTCCTGTTCCTATTTTCATATCTATAGCCCACGGTCCCTGCTTCTTCAGAACATCTTTGTGTCACTGCGTCCATGTCATCTCTACCTGGCTTCCCCTCGCTGTCAGTCTGCATGTATGAGCAATCACTGATCTATGTGGCGGAGGCAGTGAGTGCTTTCCCTCAGGGCCCTACTGTGTCTTCCCTGGATCATAATAAATGCAACTTTCATTTAAATACAAACTGCTCAGCTGAGGCAGGAAGCCAATTAGCCCCAAGAACAGGCTGTTCTGATTTTAACAACCTGTCCCTTCTCCTTTTCCAACTCCTGATTCATTCCTCAGTTTAGAAGAGGAGGCCAGATGTCTCCAAGCAGCCCAGAAGGGCACAGTAATAAGACAATGGATAAAGACCCTGAGTGGCCCCCCATTGCACCTTGTGAGGCTTGCCTGGGGGGGCCTCTGGGCACCTGTGTCTACAGGGATGTAGGTCCTGAGCTGAAGGACCTGAGTTTATATAGCCCATCTGAGCTGGGGACAGCTCTCCATCCTGGGCTTGGACAGAGGAGATGCATTAATTCAAACCTTAGTTTTGCACTGTGTTTACAGACAACTCATACTATGATGTTTGGTTTTAACCATCAACTTGACACAACCTAGAATCACCAGAGAATAGTCTTAACTGAGGCATGGATCAGATCAGGTTGGCCTGTGGGGGAGAATTATCTGGATTGTTAATTGATGTAATAAGATCCAGACCACTGTGGGAGGCACCATTCCCTAGGCAGGAGATCCTGAACTGTGTAAGAGTGAGAAATTGAGTTGAGCACAAGCAAGCCAGTGAGCAAGTGGGCATGCATGCATTCATTTCTCTCTGCTCTGACACTGGGTGTGATGTGAGTAGGATGTGAAGTTCCTGCCTTAACTTCCTATGGTGATCACTGTATCCTGGGACTGTAAGCCTTTTCTCCCCTAAGTTGCTTTACATCAGGTTATTTTATCACAGCAACAACATAGAACTATTTTCCCCATTTTTGATTCCCTAAGTAGAGACTGCCTTCAACAAGTGTGCATGGACTACAGACTCTGCTGGGGCAAAGGATTTCACAGGGAAGAAGGTAAAACCTCTGTCCCCAAAGAGCAGGAAAAGACAAGGCCACTGCCATCACTTAGTAAGAGGAGCCTCTGCAGGCCAGGGAGGGCTCAAGGGACGAGACAGTCTGAACCCAGGCTCATGAGAGAAAGCGGGTCCCACCCCATGAACCTGTGCTCTGCACCCCATGCTCTCCAGCTTCCCTCCAGAAGGGATGCTCTGGAACTCACACCAGGGCCTTATCCCACAGGACATGTCTGGCCTTCAGCAGGAGCCCAGCTGAGCCGGTGCCTCTGTAGACATCACCAAGCATGTCCTTGGTGAATGATCCTGGCTCCCCTTTGCCCTGTGGAGATCTTCCCAAGGGAAACTTCCTGTCCCCCACTCTTCCTGTGCATGGATGGCCCAGGACTCTCTTCTCTCTGGCACTGGAAGAAAGTGCCTGTTATCATAGGGCACTGAGACTGCACACCTACTGTGTGCTGTGCTTGGTGATGGAGGAAAACCCTGTTCTGGGGAATGGCCTCAGTCAAGCACAGAATCCTCTCAGACACCAGGCAGCCTGTCACAGCTGGGTCACAGTTCATCCATCACAAGTCCCTTTCTTGTGCTACCAGAGAAAAGTCTAGACAGATCTCTGAGCTTCACTGGCTCGTAGTTGACTAAATGGCATGGTTTGGAGGCCATAGAGCTGGGTTCCCGTGAGCTCAGCTGCAGACAGCCGTTGTGCTGTGTGGTGGTAACTGCTGCCTACATGGCTTCCCAGGGACCTGAGGGGTTTCTGCTGACTACACTGACTTCCCATGACCTGTAGATATCAAGGGTCTAGATCTGGGAAGGAGGCTTGGCGTCTCTGCCTTCATATTGCATCTGTTTCCTTGGCTGCCTCAAGCTCTGGGTCAAATTCCAGTTAGCTCTATATGTGAACGATATGTGTAACATTTGAGCAGTGTTTTGCTCAGGCCGTGGTACAGAGTGAACTTGACCCAGATTTGCCTGGATGCTCACTTTCCTTTTGAGGCTAAAGACACCTACCAGCCTCGCTGACTAGAAACTAGAAAAGAAGGGAAAAGAGGAGGAGGAGGAGGAGGAGGAGGTGGAGGAGGAGGAAGAGGAAGAAGAGGAAGAGGAAGAGGAAGAGGAAGAAAGGGAGGAGGAAGAGAAGAAGGAGACGGCCGCAGCAGCAGTGGTATCTGAGTTTGTAGAAGAGTGTAGAGGAAGAGGAAGAAAGGGAGGAGGAAGAGAAGGAGACGGCCGCAGCAGCAGTGGTATCTGAGTTTGTAGAAGAGTGTTGCCAATTCCCAGGAAAGACATGAGCACCGCCCCCTGTCTCTTATCAGTCTCTTTGTTGACATCCCTGCCCTGACTCCCTTCACTGGAGAAGCTGACCCCTTTTTTCTGTTCTATGGTCATGAGTCAAAGGCTCTCTTCATCTCTAATGCTCTTCTTTTGAACACTTACTGTCTGAGGGTGTAGCTTCTAGACCTGGGTTCTGTAATACTCTAACCCCAGATGGTGTTGGCAGCATACACGCACGCACGCACGCACGCACGCACGCGCACACACACACACCTCTACACTAACCTACTTAGCCCCCAGTGCCTCAGGACACCCCCAACCCCACACAATGCAGTAGAAACAAAGCCTAGAAAATGCACCATGGGCACACCAAGCTTTGATCCTTGCTCTTGCTGGTGGAAAGGCCCTGCCGGGGAGAACCCCCAACTCTGCTGTGGGGTTACTGGGGTCTGAGAGATGGTGAGCAAACACTGTGGTCAGAAAAAGGGCCTTTGGTATGAAAATCTGAGTTTGACAGGGGAAAGGTTCAATGGATGCCACCCTTGGTGGGGCTGTGGGCCACCCCTTCACTGATACCCTGCCCCTGCAGTTCCGAACCCTGAACAGAGTGGGCTGGGCAGAGAGATGGGGAGGACAGCCCTGGCTTGACAGCAGGATGGAAGGAGTGAGCAGGGAGATTCCCTGGGGGCCTGGCTTCTGTTCACAAGACAGTCTCTGAGGGTCTGGCACTGAATGGGGCTCACCTGCCTCCAGGTACCTGCACTGGGTTGTTTCGGGTATCTAATGTGAACCCTCCATCTCCTGCTCCCCAGGTACCCAAAGCTACCTGGGCAGCCATGGAAGAACCAGCTCCCCCCACACTCATGCATGTCCACCAGCCAATGGCTAGTGCTCCCTTTGCCCTCAACACTGTGTTCTCAGACTCTGGTTCCCCCGCCCCCAGGTCAGTGGCCTGATGCCCCAATATGAAGGAGAGAGTATGCACCCCAGGTCCCTCCTCTCCCAACAGGACTCACCCTATGGTCTTCCCCCAGTCACACCAATTACCTGATGCCCCAATATGAAGGAGAGGGTATGCACCCCAGGCCCCTCCTCTCCCAACAGGACTCACCCTATGGTCTTCCCCCAGTCACACCACAGAGTCTTTCCGATGGCTTCCATGTCCTCCTCGAAGCGGGTGAGACACAGCTTTTGGATGAGAGTGCCATAGTCAGGATCCCGGCAGGCAGTGACCATGAAGACATGGTGAGCTGCAAAAGGATGAGAGTGCCATAGTCAGGATCCCGGCAGGCAGTGACCATGAAGACATGGTGAGCTGCAAAAGGCCATCCAGGGGCTGTTACCTACTGGATCTCCTTCCTGGTAGCCAGCCTCTCCCATTGCTTCCCCACCCATCGCTAGCCCATCCCAAGGGCCACAAGCACTGTGATCAGGAGATAGCACCTATACTTGTTTTGCTGTGATAAAATACCCTGACAAAAGCAGCTCAGGGAGGAAGGAACGTAGCACAGATGGTCACATGACATCCACGGGCAAGAGCAGACAGAAGTGGATGCATACATGCTCACTTGGTGCTCTGCTCAGCTGCCCCACGTTTACATAGTTGAGGACTCTGTCTAGGGAATGGTGCTGCCCCACAGTGGGTAGGATGAGTCACTCTACATCAATTAACTTAATTAAGACATAATTAAGACAACCACCCACAGACTAGCCTGTGGTCACCCAATGTAGAAGAGACTCTCTTCACAGGTAATTTCTATGTTGAGTCAGATTGATAACTTAATTACCATTGTGCCGAAGGCTCCTAATGGACTCTTTCCTTAGTCACTTTGTGTATTTGAGAAGGCCCCACCTGCTGACAATGGGATCCACAAGGCCCTTGGATGCACTTTCTGCTGCTGGCGATGGCCTCCATTTTCTCCAAGCATACCCTGGGCATTGGCACCAGGCATTGGTCTCATGCTGTTTCATCCCCCAGCGTGTTTCTCCTAACACCAGCATAGCTATGGAAACCAAGGCAGCAGGCACAGCTTGCTGGACTGAGCCCAGGCCTGCCTCCAAATCTAAGGGCTGACCTCAGCCAGGTAGTGCCCCAAACATGAGGGAAGGAACCATTGCTGCCCCAGGGGGCTTCAGAAGAGGGTCCTGGTCCACCTTGTTAATTTAGCACACAGAGCTGTAACACACTACCCAGGCCCTGGGCACACTCCTTGTGCCTGGGTGTTTGGCAATCATAAACCAAGCTGACAAACTGCAATATGAACTGTGCCTTCCATCTTTAGTCTGATGAAAATACAAGATCAAAAATTATCACCCAAGCTCCGCGTTGTACAAACTCAAAGGCGACCACTCTCTTTCCCAGAAGCTCAATACCAGCTGTGGTGGCTGTGAGCTAGAGGAGAAGGATCTTCCCTTGGCTGCTACCCTCTTTGGATGGACAGTCCATTCTCAGCTCTTTGGGGGAGAAGCTGGGAGTACAGTCATCAAATCCTTTGCTCAGAGTCTGGCCGCTAACTTGCTAGCTGCGCTCCCCCCCCCCCCCAGATCATGCTGGGCATCTTCTCCCAACAGGGCCCAACTTCATTCACCTGTCTGACCATTTCCTATCCCTGGGAGTGGCTCAGAGGGATCCAGGACTGCATAGGGCTCTGTGGAATCCTTGTTGGTCCTCACCAGAGAGATGTGGGATGGGAGAAAGTCTCATCTCATTAGCAATCCATCTCAGGAGAACAATAAGGCATTCTTCACTGCTCTGGGGACCAAGTAGGCCACTGCAGCAATGGGTGACCCAAGAACTGAGCCCTTGGGTGGGCAGCTGGAGGTCTCAGGCTTGGGAATATAGCTTGGAGAGGGTGGACACCCAGGACCTGTAGGATCCAGAGATCACAGAGGAGCCAGTGCTGGGCTCTTCTGAACTGTTGGGTCCCCCACATCTTGTACACTTCTATGCTGAAGGGCAGTCTTTCTATGACCACTTATTTACTGATGGGGAAACTGAGGCCTAACATCAGAAATGAGTGGTGCTGAGGCAGTGCAGACCAGAGCTGAACAAGGTTAGCTCCCACAGCTCAAGATGAGGTCCTGGTGCTTGAGATGAGACCCCAGGGATGCTTGGAGTGCAGCCAAAGACCTGTCCTTTGAGGCTGTCGTGAGAGGCAGGTCAGGAAGAGAGGGGGGCACAGAGAGGGTGGAGGACAAAGGGACTGGAGGATGACATCCACAGTGCTGTCGGGCGGGGGAAATTACAGAGCGGACAGATGGAAGGGTGAATTCCGTAGATGCTGATCTGGCACCTGCCAGACCTGGACTCTGAGGACGTGGACATGCCAGATGCACTGAGTAGCTCACAGAGGGCCAGGGCTTTCAAGTTGGTAGATAAATAGGAGGGAAGAGAGTCCTGGTCACAGGCAATAGTGCCATCAGTTACTTGACAAGGACAGATTACCACAGCCACAATGAAATATTCATGGGGGTAGGGGCAGAGCCCAGCCACACAGCAGAAACTGGAGAATCCCCTAGGAAGCAATCCCTACATTCACTTGCTTGTCCCACCATAGCCTAGGAAAAAGGGCTGGCACAGGACTGCCTGAGCATGGACAGGGTGTCCAGCATGGTTAGGGCCGATGTTTCTGAAGCTGGGACAGGGTAGCATAGAGCAGGCCAGGGGGCACACAATGAATTCCTTGGTAAGTGAGCTGGGCATGGGAGCCCTCCTCGTATGGTGATAACAGCCCCTGGACCATGTCTCTTGACAGTGTCATCAAAGCAATGAAAGTGAATCCCTATATTCAATTAAAAATAAAAACCCTGTCCCCGCCAGGCATTGGTGGCACATGCCTTTAATCCCAGTACTCAGAAAGCAGAGGCAGGCGGATCTCCGTGAGTTCGAGGCCAACCTGGTCTCCAGAGCGAGTGCCAGGATAGGCTCCAAAGCTACACAGAGAAACCCTGTCTCGAGAAAAAAAAAAAAAAAAAAAAAAAAAACAAAAACAAAAACAAAAAACCAAAACCCTGTCCCCCAACAGCATGTGGAGCCATGGGAGGCCTCATGGCAGAACTCTGGACTTTCTCTCACTGCAGAAGGACCTGCCACCAGGCTAGTAACTGCTGCTGAGGCTCCCATAGGTGTCACCAATCAATAGGTCTAGGGAGGGGGGGCAGGGTACCCTGGGAGGCCAGCTGCTCAGGAAGACAGAGCGCCTGGGGGCTGTGTCAGGACAGTGGGCTTTGCACAGAGATGATCACAGCTCTCTGCTGGGACTGTGGAGGAAGGAGGCTAGGTGCTGGGAACACACCAGAGTCCTGAGAATGAAGTGCGATGCTGGGGACCTTTAGAGAAAGCTCTGGAGTAGTCGTGGGCAGAGAAATGGCTCCTAGGAGGCACTCCAGAGAAGATTCAGCGTGCAGCTTTCGACAGATCTCCACTAGGGAGGAGCCGTGGGAGGGGCTGCTGGAAGTGTTCTGGCCCCCACCCAGAGCCCGGAGGTGCTCAGAAGGCAGCAAGACCCTACCCCCAATCCCCAGTAAGTCACGAAGCAGCTCAGTGTGTGTATGCCCAGGCCACACGGGCACAGTGAGTGCACTGGGGACCTCAGCACCAGTTGTGCACACTTAATGACTATGATAGCATCAGGGGAGACTGGGGAAGGGGTAACCTGTCAACCCTGTCCCACCAGGATCTCCTGTGGAAGCCTTCCTGTGGTAGACAGGAAGCACCAGATACACAGCGGGCTCCTGAGGCTGGATGAGACCCTCAGTCTCATATGAGGGTCACGGGTCCTCTCTCCATTTGTCCCCTGTACTTTATGGCTCCTGGCACCCAGCCTTGGCCTGTGCCTCATGTGAGCCTACTCCCATGAACTCTATGCTCCAAGCTGTCCTCCTTCAGCGCCCAAAGTCTGAGGAAGCCACCACACCCTCCACAGCCACAACCACATCCTGGGTGCTCACGGTGAGGGGGCAAAGGCGCCTTTCCCTGAAGCACTTTTGCTCTGCTTGTGCCTCCCACTCCCTTCTGACTCACAGGTGGTCCTCCCTGCATGCAGCAGGGTGGCCTGTTAATATTCATCAAATGCCTGAGATACCCACACTTGCCTGTCAAGGAACACTGCTATGGATGGAAGCCAGGGCGCCCGAGGTACCCCTGGTACAAGGGACAGGCAACAGAGGGGCAAGAGTGCTTGTGGTCTTCCTTCCTGTTCTGGAAGAGTCAACTTTAGGGCAGAGAAGGGGATGCCTCAGGGAAGGTTCTGGGTGACATCTGTGAGAACCCAATGTGCCCTGACGTCAGCACTGAGATTTGCTAGGGAGACCTGGTGTTTCCAAGGCGCCTGTGGAGGGGCCAGGGGATCAGGAGATACACACAAGCCAGTTCCCCAGAAAGGCTGTGATGTCTTCTGTGGAGAAATGGTCCACAGGGAAAAGGGTGCTAAGTGGCTGGGGACCAGGAGGATCAACCATGTTCCTTCCACACTCTCTGGGGAATGGCCCCCTCCCTGCTCTTTTGCCTGCAAGACCAAGATCTGGCTTGTTTGAGTGTCACCCTGGTCTGGCTGTAGAGCTGAGACTACCTGGCCTGGCTCTTGTACCTTCCATTTTCCTCAAGTCACTCCTCCACCTCCTAAATGGGGACCCGCTCTGCCCAGCGCCATCACCCTCTGCTACACTCATCCTTTCCTGCCTTGGAGAGGGCAGAGTCCCACATCCACACTGTGGCCCACGAGCAGTTCTGCAGGCAGATCTGGAGAGCAGCCTCATCTTATCGTCAGAAGTGAGCTCTAATAATCTTTCTTAAAAGATAGGTGACAGTAAACGGTCAAACTGCCCAAACTTTAAACTCACCTTTTGGAGCCAAAGGGCCCCTTCTGTGTGCTGGCAAATGTTATCTTCAGAAACCCAGACTGAGACAGGCAATGTCAGGACAGGTGCTCCCCTAGGCTGTGCATAACTTAAGAATTTGGTATCACAGCTTGGCTCCTTCTCTCTACTACTGGAAAATGCTCCAACTGAGCATAAATAGCACCATACACAGACAGAAGCTACCACAGGTTTGGATGTCAGAGGGGGTGGTGCTGACCATCATCTTGGAGTATGCGTGCCTCAGAAGCCCTGTGGGCTCAGGACCTCTCAGACAGCAGCAACCCCAGGGCTAGGATAAGCTCTGTCCTCAGAGGTTCTGAGGCTACAGGAGAGTCTCAGGGGATGATGGTCACTGTCACATCACAGTGATGCCCAGCAGTTACCAG